CTTTAGATCCCCTATGGTGTCTCATAATAGTTACATTTAAGCTCCATTGCTAGACTCTACCAAGAATGAACTACGTGACTTTGAGTAAGTCATTAAACATGTTTGAGTCAATTTACTCATAAATAAAAAACATTTTTAAAAGATTTATTTATTTATTTTAGAGTGAGAGAGCATGAGTGGGAAGTGCAGAGGGAGAGAATCTCAAGCAGACTCCATGCTGAACATGGAGCCCCATTCAGGTTTCAATCCCACAACCTGGAGACCAGGACTCAGAGACCACAATCTGAGCTGAAACCAAGAGTCAGATGTTCAACTGACTGTGCCGCCCAGGTGCCCCTCAAAAACATGTTCTAATTCAACAGTCTTAATTTTAGATGGTTTAAATTATATATTTCTGGGTTTGTACAAGGCTTGAAAGCACATACCAAAATTAAGATTTCTGCATAACCTTTAAAAACCTAAAATTATGGCTACACTAACTGTTCTCACTGATAAATTCTTGTAATTATTTTTTGACTTATTCGGATCAATATAGAATGAGGTGGCTATTCCCATTCTGTCTATCATTGCTATATCAAGTATCAGTGACATAATCGGCTTCTCAACTTTTAATTAGTGTAGTATTATTTTTGTGTGTTTGGAAGGAATCGTTCATTTAATCATTTATTTCATGAATACTTATTAAGTGTCTATTAACCAGGCATTTTTCCAGGTGATGGGCTCTCACATTTAGTGAATGGAAGAAGGGAAGGGAGAAAAGCTGGTGCCATTAAAGAAGATTTTTCCTATTTTTAACTGTTCTATACAATCTGTCTCTCCAATTAGCAGATCATGAAGGTTTCAGACCACCCATATTATTCTAAGACTCAAGGAAACTCTCCCATGGTTAATGCTTCTTAAAAGCAAAAGAAAATACCTACTTTTTCATTTGTCCAGATAATGTAGGGAGAGAGTGCAAAGTGCTTCCACTCAATCCTTCTAAAGATAATACACTGGAAACATTTTGGTGGGTGTGAATCATTCAGACAAGCATTCTTCACTCAAAAATAGAAACTAGCTTTATTTGTTCCAGATGTTATACAGCTGCAGGGAAGTTAAAGCCAGTGGTCCTGTTTTCAATGCAACTAAACTCTTATTGCATTTGGAATTTCTTAACCAATGAACTCATATTACTCGTTCTAAGATCTGCACAATTTTATTTTCCACTGTTACCGTTCATAGACAACTATGTTTCATGGGAACCACTTTTCAGAGTTAATGAATCTACATCTGTGTTGTACAAAGGAAAGACATGCTGTTTATCACAGTTTCCACCTTTCGTTTATCTTGACCTTTTTAAATTTTAAGTGTAAATATATATATTTTTAAAGATTTTACTTATTTATTTGAGAGAGAGAAAGTGCATGAGTGGGATGGGGAGCAGGGGAGAGGGAGAAGCAGGCTCCCCATTGAGCAGGGAGCCTGGCAGGGTTGGAACCCAGGATCTGGCGATCATGACATGAGCCCAAGGCAGGTGCCCAACCGACTGAGCCACCTGGGCACCCCAGTGTGAAATACTTCGAAGAGATTATGTGAAGGAAAGGAAAAGGAGAGTTGAATTGTGTTGTTCTTACAGTATTTTAGAGCACATTATGGTGTTATAAGTTATGGTGTTCATTTTAGGAAGAATTTCAAATAAAATTATTAATAAAAACATTAACTATAAAAATGTAATTCTTATCATTGTGTATTTGTAATTTTAAAAACCTGACAGCTTATTTTTTTATTCTTCTGTAGGTCTGTAAGAGATGCTGTATGGGTGCATGAAATATGAAAGGATCATGGCTCTTAGAAGAAGGTAAGATATTATGTAGATGTACATGCTAATTTCATATCTAGCCCATAAAAATTAACATATATGTGTTATATTTTGTCTGAGGTCAAATGTTTGAGAACACTTATGGTTGGAAACAGAGTGCCAGATCTCTTGAGATTCTTGTCTTTTTAGGGAGATTTTCTCCAATTGTGGTTCATAGATAATCTGTAGTAGAATCACACTGGCTGCTTGTGAAAATATGTACACCTGGAACCAGTTGAGTCAGAATCTCTGAGAACTGGGGCTGTAGAGGGATCCTAGAGATCAGGAAATAGCAACAACACTCACATCTTCCATTTGTGAATGTGAAAACTCTGAGAAGTTAGGTGAATTTCACTAGGCCATGCAGTCAGTTAATTGTAAAGTAAGGCATAGAATTTTGTTTATTGATGCTGAAACCAGCGTTCTTTTCCAGTAGGTCAGCTATAAGTTTTTATCTTCAAAAAGATAAAATTAAATGAAAAATTAAATAAAGTATCTAAGTAATATCAAGTGTCCTACCCAATGATTCTTTTATAATTAATTCTTTTACTAATTCTTTCCTCTCATCACTAATTAACTAGACCCTTATTCTTTCTCCAGGATTTGGAAATACCTTTCCTTCAGAATCATCATGAATCTTTTGAATTATAATGAAATTATAATCAAAACCCTTCTCACCCCCTAGGGACACCTGGGTGACTCAGTTGGTTAAGCGTCTGACTTCGGCTCAGGTCATGATCCCAGGGTCCTGGGATCGAGTCCGGCATTGGGCTCCCTGCTCAGTGGGGAGTCTGCTTCTCCCTCTGCCCTTCCCCCTGCTCCTTCTCTCTCTCCTTCACTCTCTCTCTCTCTTACTCAAATAAATAAATAAAATCTAAAAAAGAAAAAAACTTCCTCCCCCAGAGAAGAAAATGTTATATTTCATGTATTGAAAATTAAATCTTTGAAGTCTCATGATTAATTATTTAGGAAGTGAGTGGTTTAGTAAAGTTATTTAAACCATGTTCAAGGAACAGTTTGTATTCAATAATGATTCCACAAAGACTATTAAAAACTGTAATTCATGACATACGTTCTTGAAGTATGTATATGCCATTAGTTAAAATAGAACCCTAAAGTAGTTTAAGTGGTGGTATCATTCAAAACTGATTCAAAAATTTATTTCACACCTCTTAATGAAGCCATTAATAATTTTATATCTTTAGCCTTCTAAAAGTCTCTGTGAATATAATTAAGTTTCCTGTACTTTGCCTCAATTTTGACACACATTTGTGAGAAGGAAAGAGGCGCCACTAGAGAGAAGGTGTGCTGATATTTATCAATTCATAATAATTATGGCACAAATGATTTTCAGGTTCAGTCCTTCATTTTACTAATGAGAAACCCGAGACCAATAAAACAGTAGGGTTCTTTTTTTCTTAATTTTGTTTATTTAAGTAATCTCTACAACCCCACATGGGGCTTGAACTCATGATCCCAAGATCAAGAGTTGTATGCTCCTCCTACTGAGCCAGCCAGGTGCCCCAAGAGTAGTGTTCTTTTGAAGGAGATAATGTTGTGTCAAAAACTGGTAGTTGTCTACCCAAACTTCTTTCTCCCTTTTCCAGAACTTCTGATTTCAGTGAGGCATATGACCACCTGAACAAAGATTATATTTCTCAGCCTTCCATGTAGATAGATATGGCCATGTGACTAAGCTCTTGCCATGGAATATAAGTGAAGCTTTGTGTTGTAGCTTTTGGGAAACTTCCTTAAAAGGCACTGGGGCAGGGGTGTCCTTTGCACTATTTGAACTCTGTCCATGAATTCTGTTTGAAACGTGGTTGTTTGGGCTGGAGATCTGTTTTGGTCCAAGAGGATGAGGGCCATTTTGGCTTAGATGACTGTGGAGCTGCCATCCTAATTTTGGACTAACAATTGAGCCTCATACATGGGAAAGAAAGAAGCTTCTATTCTGTTAAGTCATTGTGTTGGAGTTGTATCTGATTACAGACAACAATCCATTTCTTACCAAGAATTTCATTTATTCATTCTTTGAGCACATAGTTTTGAGCAATTTTTATGAGCAAGAAATTGTACTAAGTGGATATGAAACAAAATCATTTTATTTTATTTTTTTAAATTTCTAAAAAGTTTTGGAAAAGTTTTTAGAACCAGACTCCCATTTTCCTTTGGTCCATCCTTGTCTCTATCCCAGGCATATCATAAAATTCCTATTTCTTTCACTGTGAAGGAATACTTTTCTTGACTTGGATTTTAGAGTGTTGTTGTCATATGAGTAACATGTTTTCCAAGAGTTAAAAAAAATGCCTAAGCAACTCAAGCACATATTACTTTAAGTAAAGTTTTAACCTTTACCCCTAAACATACAAGCCATGATTAAAAGTCATGATGCAAACACAGTCATTGAAAATATGTAAGAGGTAAATATTTGTCCTTGAACAAATTCAAAATATCATGGGACATGTCTTTAAAATATTTAAATAAAATGTATTTTCTAAGTTAACACTTAGAAATACACTAAGGGTAATATTATTTTCAGTGTTAGTCACATATAAAAAGGAATGTTAGAATTCTGGGAACATTTGTGAGGTTAGAGTCTCTCTTCTGTAAATGATTTATCTTCCCGTTTAGAGCAAAAAGTACTGGACATCCCCAGAATCAGAGCACACAAATGCATTGCTCACTGGCTCCCTGATCTAATTTGCTGGTAGGCTTGGAGAAGCAGTCTCACTTGTAAGTTCTATTTAAATTCCCCACAAACTCTTCCTTATTGATTTCTTTTTTTTTTTTTTTTAAGATTTTATTATTTGACAGAGAGAGACACAGTGAGAGAAGGAACACAAGCAGGAGGAGTGGGAGAGGGAGAAGCAGGCTTTCCACGGAGCAGGGAGCCCGATGTGGGGCTCGATCCCAGGACCCTGGGACCATGACCTGAGCCAAAGGCAGACGCTTAACGACTGAGCCACCCAGGTGCCCCTTCCCTATTGATTTCTGATAATTGATTAAGTTTGGAGTTCTTTTTCTTTAAGAATATGTTTCAACACAGTCTTTTATTTCTAGATTTAAATACTGAAGAGTGTCAAATATTTAATAGATTTTTTAATAATGGAAGAAATACAATAAAATTAGGAGTGATATATAAATGTAAAAGCAGTCTTACCTTTGGATCTACATTGAGAATTTTTCTGTCTCTTTTGTATTTGAAAAGTAAACCTTCTGGATTATCAGCAATCACTTGATAATTGGGAGTTGAATTCCAAACAGCAATATGACTGTCCCAGTTGTAAAAGCTAGAAAAAAAATATTTATTAGAAATTAATATGTATGGTACAATAAATTGACAAATATATTTCAGAAAATATTTGGGGCAGTTCAGTTTCAAGATAAATGAATTGGATCATAGTCTGTATAACCATGTAAGACACATGTGTGATTAAAATTCTTGCAGAAGAGATTAGACTGGGTTTTTTCAAATTATTTAAATACATATTTATGACAATTTTACATAATTTCCTGGTTTGGACACTTTATGAATTAGGGCCTAGTCCAGTATTATATTCCTCGGGAAGTCAAGAAGAAAATTGATGCAATTTGAAGCTATTTCTTCTAGCTCAGATTCTTCAGGGTCTTAAGAGTATTCAGGGTATTAAGAGACTGTTTACTGGAAGGAAAGGCAGGCTAAGTCACCTCTTTTCATTCAAAACAATTTAATTCATTTCTTTCAGGCTTTATTTTTCAATAATATGTTTCCCAGGGAGTGAGGAAACTATGTGAGTGTGAGAGGTTACCATAGGCCAGGCATGATGTGATGTTTTCTAGCACTACACCCATATGAAGTTGTTCTCATTTCACAGACCAGGCAAGTAGGCTAGGGAGGTCAACTGGCATGGATAAGGCCCTGCAACTAATATGTCATAGGACTAATATTTCAACGCAGATCTGTGCGTTGCAAAGCACCAGTGTGTTCTTCCTACTGTTCAACGTTGCCTGCATTTTATCTTTTTTTTTTTCGGTTGATCTGTGGAAACTTCTTATTTTTTCCATGTCTTGCTTTATACTTACTTGTCAAAAATTAATATAATACCGTAATATGAGTTGAAAGAATTCTCAATATATTAATTTCACATATCTTATTCTTATTAGCACATTTCTAATATCATGTTAATATGTTCAAGTATTAACATGCTTCTAATATCCTATTTCTGGGTTGTTTTGCAATTTATTATTCCCCTTATTCATTTTTAAAGAGTAGATTTCATTGATTAAACTCACTTTGAATTATAGTGTTTCCTGAGGCATCAATTTTTGTGCTATTACCTGAAAATGTAATGTTTACCCTCAAATTTTTCAACACTTAGAAAAAGCTCACTACATCAATCATATATTTATATCACTGGGGACATATTAATGAGAGCTATTTTCTCTCTTCCCCTACTATTTGTTCTATGGCCAAGACATAGGAATATCTGCCCTTTCTGAGGCACAGAGTTAGGAAAAGTGGTTTTCTAACCACCTTTGTCTGTTGAGTCTGTCCCCCCCAAGAGAGCAGGAATGACTATTTGGTGAATAGAGGAAAGGAGCTGAGCATTTCATGGCTTTCTATGTCCTTACTTTAGCTAGCCTTCAAAAGTGAAGTTTATCATGGCAGGCTCAGCCCCCAATAGGGTGATGGTAAGGTAGCAGTCTCTAGCACTGGTGATAAATTCAATTCAGTGGCGAAGGTATTAGGAGCCAATCTGAGTGTGCACCCAAGTTATATTCTCAAATTCACTCTAATCCATAAAAGAAAGATAATTTGACCTCTATCTTACTGGTTGTTCAGTTAAAAGATTGCTAAGTTGGAATGAGGGACAATGGTTGTGATTCTAACCTTTTATATGTCTCTCTAAATAATTATTTATGAGATATATAGATATAGATAATCCCAGTAAAATGCTTGAGTCATAGCATAGCTGTGCTTAGAGCGGCATGATTTATATCACACATTCTTATCCTGTTACTCAGAGCTCAAATTAAAAAGCCTTATTAAAGTCCAGGCAGGGGAAAAAAAAAAATATATATATATATATACATACACACTCTTTACATAAAAGTGTTAATTTGTATAGCATGTGGTACTTTTGATGAGCAATTTATTTTTTTTAATTTTTAAAGATTTTATTTATTTATTTGACAGATAGAGACATAACGAGAGAGGAACACAAGCAGGGGGAGTGGGAGAGGGAGAAGCAGGCTTCCTGCCGAACAGGGAGCCCGATGTGGGGCTCGATCCCAGGACCCTGGGACCATGACCTGAGCCGAAGGCAGACACTCAATGACTGAGGCACCGAGGCTCCCCCTTTTGATGAACAATTTAGATTGTTTATCAATACTTTTGTTCTAGGCAAGGATGGGCAACAGGTTTCATTTTACATGTCAATTCTAAGAGCCGATAATTATTAGTATTTAATAAGGACAACTGACAATAATTATCATGTGCTGGGTACTGTACTGAGCCTAATGAATATATTATCTCATTTAATCCTATCATCAACCCCATGAAATAGGTACAAAATAATCAAATTTTATACATGCAGAGCCCAGGTGATCCTAACGTGTACTTGTAGATGAAAATGAGGAACTGGATTTGAAAGATACTAAAAAGTGGATTTGATGTTATGAGGGGGATGTCAACAAGACGAGATCCTAGGATTATTCTCAGATTTCTGGTGTGGATTCTTAAGTGGACAGAATAATTTACCAGGATATAAAATACAAAAGAAGGAAGGAGTTGGGGGGAAGAGGAGGTTCAGTTTTGGACATGTTGAACTTGAAATCCCCGTGAAACATCTAACTTTTTTTGAATTTTTATTGTCTATTAGTATTCTTTGTTTGTTCATCTACACTACTGTTTTACCTTATTGAGGCCTTGAGTTCCTTGGCTCACCCTCATCCTAATTTACAGCTGATTTCTTTACTTCTTTACTTACCCATGATTCACAAGATACTTGCCAGTAGTCACAACTTTATTGCTCATTTGACCCTATTTATATTGAAAAATACCAGTTCAAAATTGATTCAAATATTTGTTGTCTCCGTTCCTACCTATGGTCTCTGGCAACTCTTGCTGAAACAACTGTACCACTGATTTAATTCTAAATTCCAAATCTCTAACCTCAGTTGGATTTCAGGCACTACAGAGCAATTTTTTACATGTCTCTAGTTATCTTCTCTGTCATTCATTGTATTGTTCATGCCTCCTATTCCTCCACTTTCCTCCTTAGTCTCAGAAGATGACTTTACCTCTTACTTTATTAAGAAAATAAAGGACACTAAATGGAAACTAATTATCAATATCTTGTTCCATCAGTAGCAAATTTGTTTATATTGACAATGTCTCTTACCTCCTTCCAGTCAACTCAGAGGAATAGGTGACCCTCTTCTTCTCCAAGAAAAAAATCATATCCATGTATGTTCTAAATTCCATCCCTTATTGCCTCTTTAGTTACTTCAAATAATCATCTAAAATTTTCCTGATATAATCAAATTCATCTCACCATAAATTTTTCCCCAGGACCAACAAACGCAAGTCAATAATCCCAACTACACAAAGAAGAGAAAAGAAAAGAATGGAGGAAGGAAGGGAGGAAAGAAAGAAAGGAAGGAAGGAAGGAAGGAAGGAAGCAAGGAAAGAAGGAAGGAAGGAAGGAAGGAAGGAAGGAAGGAAGGAAGGAAGAAAGAGAAAGAAAGAAAGAAAAGAAAGAAAGGGAAGGAAAGGAAAAGAAGAAAGAAGAAAAGAAGTAGAAAGAAGAGAAATAAGAAAGAGAAAGGGAAGATGACAAAAGAGATTTCAAAACTTACCCAAAATCAGATTTTCTCCAGGCTGTCACATTTTTCTCCTAATACATTATAATTAAACCCATCTTCTCTATGCCAATTTGCCCCATCCCCTGCCCTCCATCTCAGTTCTCTCACCTGAGCTGATAATCCACATTACCTGCTTAATTGTACTTACTGGCATAAACCATAGACTCCTCTATCTCAAATACCAAAAAATAAATTTTCCTTTCCCACCCTCCATACCTATTTATCCTTGCTGTACTCTCTATGTCAATAAGTGGCACTCAATAAATGTTTATTGATTAAATAAATGATCTTTACCCATCTCTACTATTATTATTTATAATCCAATTAATGTTATTTTCAGTTATTAAGAATTAAAACAAAGAAGATGCAAGAAAAATTATTTTAAGAGGAAATTAAGAGAATTGATCTAGAACATTGATCCAGGACTTAGGAAATCTAAACCCTGATGCAATGATTTCAATTTTCTCTTATGTGAAGTTCAGAAGTTGAACTATATATTTCAAAGGCTCTTTATAATAATAATATTCTATAATTATAAAAGCCTCTTTTGATTCAGTGAGTTCTTACACATTATTTTGATTTATGTCTCAGTGTTCACAACTTGAAAATACTTATAGAAAAGTTTAAACATACTGTATTTATAACAGATAGAAGAACTTATGAGGTAATTTATGTACAATTATTTAAGCTTTTAGAATAAAAGAACAATTTTCCATTTATTCCCTATGATAAACAACCTGGAAATTGGACATTTTAGTGTACAGGTATGAGTGTACTTATACATGACTTATATAAATAAGTTGTAATAATAAAATGAAATCTATGGAAAGTCTGTTCATTAAGTGATAAGGGGATCTCATGTATGTTTTTGGAAACAATTACCTGTTCGTCATTTATTTTACATGATAATTGTTGACACCAGAGAAAATATTCCGATGACATCACAGGGCAACAGAGCTTTGGACCACCAGGGGGAGTAAATTTCAAAGCCATTCTCCAGAATACCTTATTTGGCCTCGTTTTGCTCACTACCTTCCTCCAAATGGAATGGAAGAGACATACTTACAGAAATTATGAAAGCATAAAATGGACAATGTTATTAAAGATTTGAAAAATGCAAATAAAAATACATTTAAAGGCAAACTAAGGTCTTAGGGTGAAAGTAGAATAAACATAATGATTGTTCAGTCACCAGTATATAAAGCATAGAGAAAAAACAAAATCACTACTACGTAAACATGAAATTTGACATCACAGAGAACACATCACTGGAATTGAAGCTATTATCATCTAAGGGATTTTCCCCATGGATACAATCGACAATATATAATAACTAGGAAGGAATTTTGTTCCTATCTCTATTAATAATGAAATCTTTTTAGGTTTTATACAGTTGGATCAGTAGGCTTTTATAGCACTTAAGACTTGTTTATGGTTATAAAAT